TTCAATCGTTCAAACGGTTTTGAGAATGCGATAATAATCAACATATATATTGGAATAGATACTAATGTTATTACAAACAATTTTATACTTTGAAGGCTTAAAATAATTCCCATAACAATTACGGTTCCAACATCAATTAATACTGATAACACAGAACTTGCCAGTGCATCAATAATTTTACTGGTATCAGAAAATCGTGATACGATTTCACCAGTATTACGAGTTGAAAAGAATTCAATTGGAAGTTTGAAAATATGTTTAATATATCCCAAATTAATATCAATTGATAACCGCTGTCCTAGTATTGCCAACAAAAAATCTTTTGCATAAGTAAAAACGGCTTGAAAGCCATAAAAAACTATCAAACCCAAAGCAACAACCGTTAAAGTATTCTGCATATTATTTGGAATATACGTATCAATAGTAGTTTGAAGAAAATATGATCCAACAATACTAATCAAGGTCGTTAGCAAGGCGGCCATGGTAATATTAATTATAAGTTTTTTTTGCTTAAGCAATCCAGGAATAAAAGATAGCATAGAGCTTCGTTTTTCTTTTACTGGTTCATAACTAGACTTGGGTGCAATGAAGATTGCAGCTCCCGTCCACTCTTGTTCAAATTTCTTTCTTGACATTTTGATTATACCAACTGTTGGGTCTGGATCAGCAATTTTTATATATTTTTTAGTACCTTCTATCACGACATAGTAATGTTCTAAGGTTTTATTTTTAATAACATGAACTATAAATGGAAGTGGCAATTCCTTGATATCAAATAAACTCATATCAGCTTTTATTGCCTTAGTTTCAAAATTATATTTTTCTGCTGTTTGAACAATACCAAGAGCAGTTGTACCTGTTTGATCAGTTTTTGCTAAATTACGGAGTTTTGCTAGAGAAATTTCAGTACCATAATATTTAAATAGCATAGCTAAAGCTGCGACACCACAATCGGTCTCATCAATTGTGGAATATAAATCTTTTTCATAATGAAATACCTTATTAAAATTATAAAAACCAAA